CTTTTAATAATATACCAAATATTAAACATTGAAAATATAATTATTTCGTATTTCATACTGAATTACAAAAGCTTTTAGAAACCAAACTATAGTCGAAATAAAGATAAATAATGCCTCAGTTTATGTCTATTTATGTGTCACTTGTTTATGACTACATATTATATTATTCTTGTAGTTGGCTTTAGTTTCACCAAATATTGTATAACTAAATAATAATAATATCTGTGTTTCAAATACTAAGTAATTGTGTGTATGTATGGTATGTGCGTGAGAGAGAGAGAGAGAGAGAGAGAGAGAGTGAGTGTGAGAGAGAGAGTGAGTGTGTGAGAGAGAGAGAGAGAGAGAGAGACGACTAGCATATTATGCATTTCTATTCATATTAAAAGCCATAAAATATTGCAGTAATGAATGATATTAATTATGTGATATAATCAATAAAATAATACAAAAAACAACAAATAAGTAAAATATGCGTTTTATGGAGACCTCCAATGCTTAGCAATAACTTCAATACAGTATTACACTAGACTTAGGGACAGACATGGATCAGATATATCGGTGATAAGATGTCACACATCATACAAGCTCTTTGTGTCCATTACTCTGATTCACATATGATTTGTCAAATTGTGTGCAGATATACGGAAACCTAATAATCAATGAATCGATTGAACTAAATATGAAATGCGATACTTTTGCACTCATTTAGACGTTATAAGCGATTCACTAAACAGTGATATAAACCAGAGTTGGTGTCAGAGTTTCGATGACTTTTGCCAATAAATCAAATCATTGATAGATATAACTATGAACTCAAAAGTCAACAAAAACTGAGGGTTTAATTGACACTCAAATAAACATAAGCCTAATGGCGATGAGGCAACCAATGCATTGTCAGTGCAATACAATACACATATTATGCCATATAATAGCAATTAATACAAATCCATAATCGCATTGAATAGCATGAAAGTGATAGTACAATCACATGGACATATTGAGCAAGCACAAATTGATTGCTCATTAGCATTGAAATGGCTATGAAAATGGAGATATGCATACCCGACAAACCAGTCGTAAGTGTCCCGCAGATATTCCGGTAGTTTGTCCAGCTTGACACCAATCACACCAATTGCACTGATGTCCAGATCATGTGTGGCACCACTACCACGACAGTCACCAATTCGTGTCCACGAGTGCTACCATTAGACCAATTCAGTGACAATCGACTACTTTTGCAGTCAAACTATTATTGTTGTTGCGATGGCTTTCCACCACTACTTCACACTCAATACCACTGATGCCATAGAAACCACACAAACCATACACACCGGTGGCGCCACGAGCAGTCCATCCACACTAACACTGTTAGCCTATCTGTGAATCACTGAATCGCATACTTTTATAACTTATTTAACTCATTGTTATGTAATTCATCAATTATTTAGCCGTATATATTGTACTCAAGTTATATATTGCCTATAATTTCGCACGCATTATATCACTCATATCATTGACATCAAAGACATATCAATAGTAACAGTAAGAAAATACAGTAAATGTAATATTCATATAATGTAATGGAGAAATTAAGTTGGTTTATAACTTTGCGGTATTTATACACTATTTTTGTGCTAATAAAACATAATTACAGATAACATTTTAATCTGTTTATGAAATTAAGTCTACAATAGATATGATTGACTTTTCAGATGAATAATAAATCTTAGGATTACATATAATATGTTTGACATGATTATTAGAAAAAGTGAACAAAATGTTTGATCAGTTGACAAGTGTGTGAGTGTATGGTTAGGCCTCTATGGCTTCATCCACGTCCTCCTCAGTGGCCACACGACCCGACGATAAGAATATAACGTCGTCTGTAATACAAACCAAATCAATAGATTTATAACTTATAGATAACACGCGATAATAAATAATATATGGAAATGCACTATAAATCGTTATCAACAAATATTATACTAGTGATTGCATGTTATGCTATTGATATAAGTTATAAGGTAATAATACCGTAATATAAATTATATGTTCATAAAAATGATGGTAAATAAGATACAAATGTATGTATAGACAGACCGGCAATAATACTAGTTGTCTGATGTGACACTCCATTGGCATCAGTGATCTCTCCATAAGAAATCCTTCCCTGAACTAAGAGTCGACTCCTAAACCAATTGATATGACAGTTAGGCTCAACTGATAATCATTTGGTCACAAATCTAACCCTTTCTTCGCGAAGTTAAGCGTCTTTTCCTGCAATCGATTCCTAAAGACTGAGATTCTGTGCCAATCAGTCTTCTGTTGTAATTCATCTAAACATTCAATTCAATGACAATTAGTTCCCATTTGATGACAAATATGTTCAGTAAATAGAGGTGTGAATGAGTGGTGCGGTTGACAGACCTGTCTCCTGGTTCTTGAAGTGTGTGTGAGTGGCCAACGAGAAGATAATGACCGGTCGACTGTCAGTGCCTCTCTTGAGGGCATCGGTGCCGCACCGACCCATTAGTATCACTTGATTGATGCCTAAGAGTTGGCATTCAATTGACATTTCAAATTAGCTTTTAAACAAATATTTCAGTAATTTTGAGCACAAAATGCAAACCCTTTTCAATGATTGGACGACCAGTTGAGTACTTATTGGTCACCAAATTTTGCACACAATTTATGTTTGACTATAATTTCCATTCAATTTGTCATCAATTTATGAGTAAATCAAATCTAAATGCATTCAAACACTCACCAAAACATGAGATCCACTTAAACGCGAATAAATAGTACGAAACATAACTAAATAAGTGCTAAATTGGCGTTAAATCACTTGAAGATTAACTGTATTTAAGCCGTGAATGCGATTAATTGGTGACACTTTGAGTGGATGTTGACATTTGTGTGCAAAACACGTGTTTGTGATAAACAATTCAAATTTCGTTCAATCGCTGAACACTTGACTCTTTTGAGCGCTTTATTTGAATGCATTCATTGACTCATATTCTTGGCTCAGAATCGAGTGAATATTTTGTTGCCTTTTTTACTAAGATTTTCTTGTTTTTATTTATCACTTAATTTATTTAAATTAAATCTTTTCATAAAAATAGATTCACGTCAAGGAAATGAAAGTGAATGAGTGGTTATCCTTGGGATTATCGGACTCGCAATCAATGAATTGCCGGTGAGTTTCAAATGGATATAATTCTGCATAATATTAACACATTATTGCGTGGGTAGTACCACTGGGTACATTTATCATACCTTATAAATTTATCATGAATTCATCATAAATTAGAATATATTTTATTCTTATGCTAATTATAATAAAAAGCACTCATTTTTCATTTAATTTAAATTTAGTGAACATTTTTTAAAAATTACGATTGAATGCACTTAAAACTTGGCTTAAATTTATATGAATTTCAAAATAAGTTTACAAATTATCTGAAAAGTATATGAACAATATTACTACCGGTATATTACCCTAACAATTTTCTGGAATGTTTTTTGAAAACTCTTGATTTAAAGTATAATAATTATAAATATTTATACTTTAAATTGATATAATTAGTGACAAACATTAAAGTGCAGTGATGATTAAGTAAAATAAGTTTAATAACTTCCAAACATATAGTATAGGGTAAAATTGATTTTTTAATTGATAAAAAACCAAAAGTTTAAAAATAATCACTTATTGAAATGGTTAAAGGATCAAGTGAGAATTTCATATTTAATAATTGATTTTATTTTAAATAAATTCAGTTTAAAATCACTTCACATAACAAATATTCAAATGTTTG